CCTAAACTTATCTCAAAGAAAACTCTCATTTCCTCAAAACCCTAACTTACAAAACACAATTTATTCTTATAAAACTTAAATCAAATTCCATAATTATCTTCCAAAAAAAACATTAGGAAACATCTTTGTAAAGGTATTTTGAAAGAAAATCATTTTTGGAGAAAACCCCTAAAATTTCTCTTTCCAAAAATCTTGAGAAGGAGAGGAAAAAAATAGATTCTAATGCATACATTTGACTTCCCTTATCCTCCTCTACGTTTTCCTCAAATTTTCTCGCCGGAAAAGGTTGACGGAGCCGCACATCGCCTCTCCCTTCTCCGCCTTCCTCTCGGTTTCGGCTAAACGAGCAAACAGGGGGGACCGAATTTCCCTTAAGAGGGATGGGGGCTAGTTTCCATTGCATAAAGACACAAATACCCTCACTTAAACAATCCCGTTTTTAAAAATAGTTAGGGGTAGTTTGGGTATTTTTGAACTTCTAAAAATTATATCTCTTAATTTAAGCAAAATTAGAGACAAGTTCTATATACCAAATTGATCAGAATTTTGAACTCTATTTTATAAAATTTATTGCGTCGAATTCCGACAACTTCGAATTTTTCACTTAAAACTCGTCGCGGCGCTTTGAAAAGCGTACGAGATCTAAAACGGCATTTTGCGGGTTTTACATAACTAGTTGATAATAAACGAACTTAGACATGATCAAGATATTGCTCGGCTTTGCTCGATTCATTTGCATCCTTAGGCTTTTGTTTGTCAAATGCTTCCAACAGTGGAACTAGACTAGCAATTCTAGAAAACCTTGCCCATCCTAACTACTAGAAGTTCTCTTTGATTAAGAGGGATGGAAGGGGATTTGGATTTTCTAAGGTGGAGTACAAATATAAGAACATAATGATAGAAGATTGCTTTAAAGACAAATGCAAGAAAATTAAAACCGTACTCACCAAATTAGAAATTCAAGAGGTTTACCCAATTCCCTTAAGTTGGCTAACCACCAAACCACTAAAAACCTTTGATATTTCTTTATAAAAACATGTATTTAACCAACCTATCTCTTCACTTTAGTCTAAGGAAGTTTTATACAATTGAAGCCACATAAAGAGGCACATCCTTTCATTTAAATTTAAAGCAAAGAGGAAAAATGAGAGGAGAGTGGGTCTGGTCCGCAACCACCTCCTAGAAAAATAGAGAATGGAGATTTGCAAAATATAATATTGGCTCCAATTAATGATTGATGTGCAGGTTTATGTCTTACCAAATAATATATTGAGTTGCATAAACCTTGCTTCTTTTTTAGTTTAGAGGCAATTGAGTTATGAATTTGGCTTGAAGATCAAATATCACGGAAAAATTAGATCAATCTTTATTGGGGCTACTAACAACCACCTCTTTTTCTCATGTTGACTAGTATGGCCGGCCCTTACATTCTTGTCCATTACTTCGACTTAACCTATGCACTAACAAAGCAAATTATTGCCATTGATTACTAGCAAAGCAAATTACAATATTATGTAGTCCAAACAACGCTTAGTAACATCATAAAATGGAAATACGTAAAACAAAATATAAAATGATGTAAAACTTTATGGTTTCTTCATGGATTAAGATTTATGTAATCTTTTTCTAGTGATAGGACCACCTCTATGTGCTTGAGCTTCATGTTCTCTTACTCCAGTGATAGGACGACTTTCATATGGTATATCATCAAGTGTGAGTGTACTCATTTAATGTAGAAGTTGGAAGAACAAACCTTCAGAAAAATACACTAGGAAGAACATACATGACTCAAAGTATGTCGATGGACCGAGTAGCTAGAGTTAGTTTTGGTGAATTTAAGATTAAGCTTCAATAATCAAGTTATTTATTCAATTACAGAATATTATATTATTATATTATTTTGAGGTGTTGAGGATGTGAAAATCATCATCACACACCTACGAGAGAATTGAATTTAAATTAAATATGACAAAAAATGTTTTAATTAATTTTAGATTATTGTATTATAGGATTCGGATTTCCTTGTATGATCTGCCAGAACTAAAAAGTCTTTGAGAACTAATCAAATTATACGATCATCATTCATAATGTATGATTGTAATCGCTTTCAAAATTACTGGACAATCAACTTTGTTAGGATTAAAAGATATCATTATTAGTAAAAGATGATCTTAATATCATATTATATGAGGCATCAAATGTGTTATGTGACCTGCTTTATTTATGAAAATATGTTTACATGATTGATTTGTATTGATCAAGATTATTCAAAATTTGAACTAATCATAATGCATGATGTATATTATATTGTAGATCAACACGATTATATCAATTATATCTACAAAATCCATTAGCCTTAATTGGGATTATTAAAAATTTGAATTTATCAAACGATATGTTCTATTTTCAAAGAAAAAAATATTTAATCACATGTTTAACTAAAATAGCTAGTATGATCTTAATTGAACTGATCGTATTATATGATATGATCAACCAATAATTTTTTTTATATTGTCTTAAATGACTTAGGGTTTAAACTATTAGGCCAATATACTTAATATGCATACCAATATGAAACCCTAGACAAAAATAACGGTTGGAAACAAATGAACTACCACTTGCAAATTGTTCAGAGAAAATTTTTTAGAAAGAGAAAGAGTGAGAACCCAAATTCATATTCCCCCTCCTAATACCTTTCTATCCTCATCTTTATAAATTTGGTTGTTGAGAGCATTTTGTGAGCTTTTCCTCAGAGAGATATTTGATTTTAAAAACACTTTTGAAGAGCTTGTTTTGCCAAGTGGTGCTAGGTGTACCTTCCTTCTCATTTTAAAGGAGTGGTTGCAGTATTTCTCCATTGCTCGTAAAAGAGAGAGAGGCTTCTCCGCCTTGAATTAGCAAAACGTGAGAGTAGTGAAGAATCTTGGGAGAATTTAGAGATCGAATATAGACTGGTTGTAGGCCAAACCACTATATATTGGTTTGTCTATTCTTTACCTTTAGCATTTTTACTTTTTTTGTCATTTTATTTACTGCAATCCTTTGTGTTGAAATTTAGAAATATTATGAATTATGATTGTGATTTGAGAAAAAGTTTTCAAATAAAGCACTAAAATCATTTAGAAAATAAAGTCGTTTCTCTCTTTCATTATGTCAAAGAGAAAATTTATTTGCTTTCCTAACTAGTTTTTAAAATCACACCAATACTTACCCTTATGGGTGTGCCATATATTTCATAGAGGAGAGAAAAATAAGGAATCTTAGAAATAATTTCTAATTTCAATGCATTAATAATGAAATGCATCCTTTATATAATATATAATATTTATAGAAAAGATTTTCCATTCCATTAAAAATAATCCCTCCATGTTCAAGTCTAATAATATCATTTAATTCAAATCTAAAACTAAGGTTATGTAATGGATAATTTTTACCTAAGTCAATAACAATAAAATCGAGCCTTTATCTCACGATGTGGGGTTGGCTACATGAGTCTTTTTTCTCCATTGTATCATGTTAAGTGTCAAATTCTCATTTTAATCTGATAAGAAAAAGGTCATTTCTAATATTTTCTAACCAAGTATTTTTATGTCTACCTCTACATTTCTTAACATAGGCAAAATCTAATACGTCTACTCTCCTAACTGGGTTATTGGAAGGTCGACATTTTATGTGTCCAAACCTTCAAATGTGACTCTCTCTAATCTTATCTACCACTGGAGCTACTCAAACCTTTTCACGTATACACTCGTTTCGCATTCTGTCTCTAATAGTGAAGCCACTCATCCACCTGAGCATCATTATCTCTGCAACACTTAACTTACTTTTATGCTTCTCTTTTGATGACCAACATTCTACGCTATAAAGCATTGTAGGTCTCACCACCATCTTATAGAAATTTCTTTTAAGTTTGAGGGGTACTTTTCTATCACACAACGAGCCTGATGCGTTCGTCCACTTCAACCACCTAGCTTGAATTTTACTAATAATATCCTCGTATATTTCACCATCACTTTGAAGAATAGACCTGAGATATCTAAAATGTGTATTCTTATTAATGACTTGATTGTACAAAGTTACAATCCCCCTACTAGATCTAATATTACTAAAATTATTCTTCATCTATTTGGTTTTAGATCTTACTCAAATGAAATCCTTAATTTCAACCTAATTCAAATTAAAAGAAATCTAATAAAGTAATTACAAGTAATTCAAGTATTGGCCTGGTTCAATTTAAGACTGGTTTAGCCATGATTCTTGATTATGTGTCACATCACCGTTATGCTTTATTATTGCCTTTAAACCTAGCTATGACCATTAAATATGTTTAACATATTAGTGATTAAATGATTAAATGCACTTGGGCTCAAATTGCTAGTACTTAACTTTTTCGTTTATACTCTATGCCTCTATTCTTTTCTTCCAACCGTTTGGGCTAGTTTGCTATTTAACCTTGCAATAATTTGTGTTATCAGATCTGATCCTTCTAAGATTGAAATTATTTCAGACATTTATGGTAAAGATTTAGCATGTTTTATGAAGCATAGATGTCAAGCAGTTTAATTGCACTATGATGCAGCTATTAGCGGATATTTTTTGATAAATTTTCATGATCTAAATAAATATGCGGCACACTAGAAAGGTGTTACTGTCTTATTTTCTGAAGATAAAAAGGCCATATAACTAAGAAGCCTTGAATTTAGTACTAGAGTTTTTGTGAAGTCTTATTGCTTTCCTTAAAAAAATTAAAAATGAGCTCGTTTTAAAGGATGCTTATATATTTGAACAAAAACTTGGAATGAGGCCTGTTGATTTTGGGTTATAGCAAACTCTGCTTTGCCTTACTATTTGTTTTCATTTTTGTAGTTTTAGATGTGTCATGCCAACTTGTTTGGTAACAAATTTTTGAAATCAATCTCTTCTCTGAGGTTGGAGTTAGATATTAACATAAACATGGTTTAATTAAATAACTCCCTCTTTTTTCTTTATTCTTCATTCAGAGTTCGTTTAGCCAGTGGCTTGAAGATAGCACACCAACAGTTGGGGAACATTCAACTTGTTTCTCAGTATTTGACAATCTTGGGTACATTAGCACTTCAACTACATGACACTGAACAAGCTAGAGAGATATTGAAGTCATCTTTAACATTAGCCAAGACACTTTATGATGTTCCTACACAGATTTGGGTGCTTTCTGTTTTAACAGGTATGCGTGCCATGTTGGATTTAGCTGATTAACCGTACCTCATTGAATTTATCCGTGTGCTTGAACTTTAAAGTACGTAGCATGCAATTTTTTTTTTGGGAAAAATAGGGGCATACATGCCCAATTTTATTCCAAAAAAAATGAAAGGTTCCAAAGTAAATACAAATGATTTGTAAGAAAAACAAAGAAAAACTTACAATATCAAAGAAGAAAAATTATAAGAAACCTAAAAACTCCTTAATGTAGGAGACAACTACAAACAATGTTTTTTAAAAAGAACCCAGCAAAAACACAACTCCATGAAAGAGTCAACAATGATAAAAAATTGGAACAAAAGATGAGAAAAACCCCGTCCACCTTTAGATGAAAGCATTTCCAAGACCAACAGCAAAATATCAATCCAATTCAGCCAACCTATCCAACAACCGCATCTAGCAAAACAAGTATCACTACATCAAAAGTCCAACCCGATAATATATCTGGAATAAACTGCCAAAACACCTTCAACTACCAGGAGCCAATAATCAAATGAATCTCTATCAGAAAAGCAATCAAAGCCTCCTTCAACGACCAATTGCCAATCAACAAAGAAAGCTCCTTCAGAAAAACAATCCATCGAAACCCATCTAAAAAATCCAACAACTCCAACTTTAAAGCGATCAACCAGCACCCAAACCAAATTCCAGGGAATCTCCAGAAAAATCAAAACTGTCCAGCCAACTATCAAACACGACACCTGCACAAAAGAACTCCCAACAGAACCAATAGCAAAGATAAAAACCAATATTCCCCTGAAAACAAAGACTCAAAATATGAAAAAACCTTCCATTGAAACAAAGGACCTGAAAATTTACTTGTTTGCTAGGCCCAGCCATCCAGAAAAAGTGGTTGACAGATCAGCCATCGAAAATAAGAAACAATAAGGTGCCCAATCATCATTGTCCAAAAACACCAAAAAATCCACAATTAAACAATATACTGGATAATCTTATGATAAGAAGTCCAATTACAAACTTTAGCTTGAACCGCAGAGCTAATAAGCTTACAAATATAATCTTGATTTCGAAAAATGTTATCCGTCTTCCTGCAATTTCTTTCTTTCCAAACAAAATGAAGAGTGCAACAATTAGCATGCAATCTATTTAAAATGTTTATAAATAAACGGCTTTGTTTTCCTTAATTATTTTTCTATAACTCTTTATGTATAGTATCATATTTTATATGCAATTGATTGTGATTTAAAATACTGGATATTTATCAATACCAGACTGAGGTCCAACGACGGCCGTGGCTTGTGGATGTCTAGCAGCGATCGACATATAAAAGTTCGACGGCCGTGGCTAAGCAGTAAGGGTTTTCCTGCAGTGGTGTATGGGTGGAGCTATGAGATTATTTAAGACTCATAGCTCTCTTGAATCTTTATTCATAGATCCTAGCCTCCAATGAACTCCATTATGCTAGGAGAGGGGGTCTATTTATATATTTTTAGAGTGGCATACCCTGTAAATATGGGGAGGGACTATAGCAAATTCGGAGTGCTCCATCAGACGATCTATATTGATTTCCTTAATCATAGAGCATTTCTTCAACATTTATGTGCCTTAGTGATGTTCAAATTAAGCGATTTTGGGCTCGTTGGACTCGTCCCATTGAGCCGCTCGATTTGACTATAAGCATGCTATATTTGGAGATAATTTGGCATCCAATTAATATCTTGAGGCTTTCATAGATGCTTCAAGCCCTTCATTTGGGCTCATTTAAGCTCCAGTTGGATCGATTTTGGAACCATCGGGTTTATCTCGTCAAAACGCTCAATTTGATTATAAATTTGTTAAAATTAAATTTTGGATGGTCTCAAATTTAATCTTGGAAGTTACCAACATGAATATGCCTTGACATTCATGTCCGATCAAGGCAATGTTTTGGTGACGTATCAGTTCTCCTATTTTTGGACTTTGAAGCTCGCAGAGTTCGAAATATGTCAAAGATTTTTAAAAAATTTCAATGTGAAACTCCATTGACATTAATGTGGACATCCATTGGGTCCATGAATCAAGTAAAATGCTTTGAATCATAATTTTAGCAATTCATAAAGTTGATGTGTCAATCGCTGCAGAAAATGTTGATAATTTTGCTCTAAAACCTCTAAATTTGTTCAAAACTAATTATAGAGGTTATGTTACGCTCCAAAATATTAACATTGAGTCCAAAACTTTGAAAAATCAAAGTTCCAAAAATATTTTAATCGGGTTGTTTGGGCCAAAATCGTGCCCGGACCTAGCTTGTAGGCTGAATCGGCCGGCCATCGATAGGTCGCCTACATATGTCAAACGTGAACCTTGCACACTCATTTTTTATTTCCTTTTTTTTAAAATTTTTCATAAAAGAAGAAAAAAGGCTTCCAAAAATTTTGAAAATAATTTTAAAAGGTGAAAGTAATTATATACATATTAATAAAATATTTTATTTTATTTAAAAAACAAATTTAAATATTTTTCTTTTAAAAATCATAAAAAACTTATAAAATTAAGAGAAATTTTTTATTTTTTCCCTTCAAGATCTATAAATACCCCACTTTGGTGGTGGGGAAAAACCACAATTCACTAGGATCTAGTTCAGAGATAATCATTATCCTATAAGAGTCGAATATTGTTGGTAGTGATCAAAGTTTGGCTCTCTTATATAGGATAACTGTCAGCAAGATTGAATATTGTTGGTGGTAATCAAAGCCTAGTTCTCTTATACAAGCTCCAATTCTCCCCCGTAAAAGTAGGGATAAATTGTTCAGCAAGAGTTGAATACTGTTGACGACGATCAAAGTCTTGACATCAATGATGGCGATGATAAAAAACTAATCCTCTTATACAAGTAACTGCACGAGTATGTCGATGATGGCAATTAGAGGATTTGTGGATGATGGTAGTTAGGTGAAGGGCTAATGATGGTCGTTAAGAGGTAAAGGGCTGTCAACAGTTGTTGAGAGGCAAAAGGACAACATTGACAGTTAGGTGGAGGGCCGATGAAGAGGATGGTTTGGTTGCATTCTATTGAAGGCAGCAGATCCATGCTGACGAGGGCGGACAATGAACACGACAAAGGGCTTGGTTGGTGTGCTGATGGCAGTAGTCTAGCGGTACATCAATGGTGCCAATTGATTGGAGGCCTAATGGTAACGAGGCTCCAAACTTTCCTTGAAGAAGGGGTTGAGAGAGATGCTTCAAAGTGCTAAGTGGTGTATATGTTATGAGAAATCCACTTAGGCTATTTAACATATACAAGGTTGTTTATTAAAGTGTTGCTCGATGATGTTAACCTGTATAGAAGAGATCAAGAAAAATCGACCAAGGATGTTTGACCTATTTGAGATTGTTTGCCAAAATATTGCTTGATTCTGTTAATCAGTCAAAATAAATCCACCAAGAATGTTTGACCTATCGAATATTGTTTGTTAAAGCATTGCTCAAAGACATTAACATGTGTGGCGGAGGTTGGAAGAAATTCATCAAGGATGTTTGATTTATTTGAGTTTTTTTTTCAAATTATTGCTCGATAATATTAACCTGTATGGAAGTGATTGAGGGAAATCCATCAAGGAGATTTGACCTATCCGAGTTTATTTATCAAAGCATTATTCGATGACGTTAACTTGTTTGGAAGAGATCTAAAAAAAATCACCAAAGATGTGTGGTGCGAAGAGCATTGTCCGGATGTGGGATTGAGTGATCCAGCCTACGGATGGGCGTGACTCGCGAGCGCGGGATCGTGTTGCAGAGGGCGGAGTCTGGTGCGGAGGGTGGAGTTCAAGTGAGTTCGGGTTAATTTCTGGTTTTCGGGTCAACCCAAATCCGACTCAATTTTAGAATCGAGTTGGAAAACGAAACCTGAACCCGACGCGTCTCACAAACAGGTTGACCCGAACCTGGAATTTTCCTAGTTGGTTCTAGGTTCATTTTTTGGGTCGGGTCAAGTATTTACACCCCTATTGTATGGAAATGGTTGTGAGAAAGCTTTATGAAAGATGATTGATAATAATATTATACACCCATGACTACCTGTGCAGCCACCCGTTCACAGGTGTCTTGCATTTTACATTCGGGTCAAGTTGAAGGAGAACCATTTACTCTCTTGGAATAGTCCATTCAAGGGACTCGCTCAGTAGCTTAACTTTGGAGCATGCAGATCAGCTTCGTCCATATTCTCCAGGCTGTATCTCTCCCTTTCGAGGGCGACCTCAAAAGTTCCTCTCTCAGTTAGACAAATCTTTATTCTTCCCTGCTAGAGTCAAGTTTCCTATGCGAGACACATCAACTATCAAACTAACGACACATATTGCCTCCGCAAGACATCTATCACAAACAGGTCGATCTTAGGACCACATCAAGATGCTAATCACCCACTCTCACCTTAGCGGGGTGACCTTAGACTGGCTCCTTGACCTACATTGGTTCAATCTTTTGACTAAATTTTGACACTACTCGCCCGCTCTCACCTCAACGGGGCGACCTTAGACCGGCTTCCTGCTTTCTGTCAATGTTGAATCGATTCACAAGTTCATCCAACTCGCATCCACTCTCATGGTGATTGCCACTTCACTCAGCACAGACGACCGAGTTACATCAAAGACTAATGGGTTCACTAATGTATTTTATACATATTCATTGTAATTCCTCTAGCCCTATAAATAGGGGGAGGAGCGAGACATTAGGAGACACGGGAGATGGACACGAAAAGACACTAAAGAAAGATATTGTGTCAATTTTCTCTTTTCTTAGCTTAAGTTTTATTGCAAAGAGCCCTCATGTCTATTTTTGTACATTTGGTTTGGATAATAAAGATTTTGTCTAGATCTATCATTTTCTCTCTTCCTTTCCCTCTATTTATCCCGTATTCTGACTTCACCATCTTCATCTCTAGACTCTTTAGTCCACAGATGGCCCGAAGTATGGCCCAGGATCATCCACCAAATAAAATAGGATTTAATATATATTATCTTTGATGTT